TTAATGTATGTGAATGACTTACTAGGTACATCTAACTAAATCCCAGCCATACATGTTCAATAACAGAATGGGCACCATATTCTGACAGTCAGAGGCTACGTGCAGCTCCCATCTAAACTGCTGCATATGCTCCCATCAACAGCATACATTGACTGGCAGCTAACTTCTACACCCATTGCATGCTGAGCAGTGCCCCAGCCCTTCTCTTGAAATCCTGTCCTCGCGGACAGGATCCCTATGGCATAAGGCATGGTAGACTGTTTCTCATCTCTGCATGGATCTGAGTGCTGCAGATTAAGCTATGGGAGGAGTTTCCTGATCCACATTGCTCAGCCATATGGTCAGTGTTCAACCATTAGCCACGCCCAGTATCTATAGCTATATTTAAGAATGTATTACAGTTACCAAAAATAGAACATGACCCTTAAGATACTGGACATAAAATTGTTATGCCACATTTGTGTTAGTACTGGAAAATGAGGGACAAACAAACAATTATGACTTTTCTATGTTGGTAAAACACTACCATAATCCATATCTTATATCACATAAAAGCCAAACATTGTACAGGATATCCATTCTGCGAATGTCTGCGTGCAAGGTGCTAAGGAATATAGAAGCTCTCTTGACACTATAGGGTGCAAAACCAGGATTTCTGCTGTTCCCTTCACAGATGCACATAGGAGAGCTTCTTTTACCCTTCTCTTACAGTCACACTGCACTGAGGAAGAGAGAATCTGGCTCAAAATATGTATTTGGCTCTCTATCTTCATTATTTCTAAACATACAATTCTAAATCAGTAGAACTGGGCACTACCTAAAGCAATCGGAGATGCAATCATTAACCATTAAAAGGTAATCTAAATACTAACAGCTCCCAAGATTCGCATACCCCTCCTCCCCCCGCCCCCAAAATGTAACCATCATGATACATACACCATAAATCCAGGTATTTGTGTATCCTCTTCACTGCATTGTTTAACTGAGGGCTTACTATCTTACTAAATTTAGAGCTTGATACTCTAAACATATAGACAAAAATACCTTTATAAATACAAGTGGTTGTGTTGACCACAATGATACTACTTGTGTTCAAGACCACTCTTAGATTCTAAGCTCTTTGGGGTGGGGGAGAGTTTCTTTTATTGATCTGTTACATACCTAGCACACCTTGGGTGCTACATAAATCATAATAAGTGATCATGTGCCACATGGATTATGTTTGAAGAAATGTATTTCTCAACCACACTAAAATACAGTCTGTCACAGCAATTAAAAACCTGTGGCTGGCCTGAATCAGCTGACGGGCTCACGGGGCTTGGGCTGTGTGATGCTGTATGATTGAAACATGAGCCATTATATCAATATTGCCACTGTTAGTAAATTGCAACAAATCTTGTACAAAGTATATCATATAAGGTGTCAATGGAAAAGTTACAATCAAATATGATTATCCCCTTTGTATGCATGTATCATCTTTGTATCTAAAGTTATGAATATTGATTGTGTTTGCTTATGGGGTAACGCCCACAAGGTAATTTACATCCAGTCTGGCCAGCACATTGTGAATGGACTATTCAAATTGATGGCCCATTAAAGGACACTTAGCTCACACAATAGACCATAGAAGAACCTGTCCCTGCCCGATGGAAGTATTAGCCAAAATATGCAGTTCCTATGACTCATAAAAGCATGCAAGGACATGTGACTTGCTCATGTGAGCCTGGACTCCACCTTGTGCCTGGAATTTTCCACAAACTAAGACAGAGAATTCCCTACACATGGGAGAAAGTATAAAAAGCCCTGGAAGCGTCTCCATTGTGCCTCTTTCCTGATCTGATCTCTGGACTTACACTAAAAGGAGCATTCCAACCAATGGACTGAGGACCTTCCAATCTTTTGGAAGTTATGAGAGACTTTACAAACCAGCAGTTTATTCCATCAGGACTACAAGTCTGATCCAAGAACTTTGCAATGAGTATGTATTTGTTTTCCTTGACCATCATAACACTCTCCGCTTTCTTTTCTCTTAGATGTAAGCAGAGTCTGAATGAACTCTCCCCTGACAGCTAGTTGGGGAGGAGGAGAGACTTTAGGAGCAAACTGTATTTACATGAACACACCTACTCTGCACAGGTATCTAGCAGACAGGAGCTGTGTAGCCCCAAGTGATCAACTTTGGCTGGTGTTGGGTTACAAATCACTTTAGTACTGAATGCACGGGTCGTGAAATGTTTTCAATGTTGTCTTTATTGTCTGAATAGGGGGGGGCAAAACTGTGCTTAACCTGCCCCAAATGAGGAGGTCCCCCTCAGCTGAAAGGACCTAGTTAAGCCAAGGACTCGAATGCCACACGCCTGTGAAAGCAGAGAGGGGTGGGGACAGGTGTTCCAGACAGGTGGTGTGGACTCTCCCTAAGGGTCCCCAGTCTGGTTTAACCTGTTCCTCCCCACTGTTCAAACATAGAGCTAAATAGACTTCATTAGGAGCCTTTTGTTATTTTAAGTGCTGAGATCACTTGTGATGGGACAGTGTTTCTGCCCAGCCTGATGAGAGCTAAAAATCACTAAGAGCTGACAAACACTAAGGAACTGACCTACAGAGGTCACAACAGAGAGGCAGGTGGCAGCAGAAGGTGACTGGCAGGCCCGGTTGTCAAAAGTGGCGAGCAGTCATCTGGCGGGAACAGCCAGCGGGAGGCGGTGAGGAACAGTGGCTGGTAGGGCAGTCAGGTGGCAAGGAACAGGGCTGGTGGGGTGGCCAGCCAGAAAAACTGCTCAGATGGCGGAGCAAGCCAGGAGCCTTCTTCCCTGGGTGGGAGGTGAACTCATGCACATGCACTTCTGAACCCTGGGTCCTCACTGACCAAAGACAACCACTGTGAATGGGGTATGGTGAGGGGGCAGAGGGGGACACAGAAAAGAAATTTTTGGTTGTAGAATTCAAGAACATGAGGCAGAAGACTGTGCTCCATACATTCTGCTCACAGTTTTATGTTTATGAATCCTGCTTGTGGCATTTTCCCTAATTAATGTCAGGCGACTTTTCTCCTTTCATTAAAAAAGTTTCTTTTCTACACTCAGACTCTGTGCTTGGAATGGGGAAGAATTGGCTCTCAGAGGCACCCAGGGGTGGTGTGTAATTTTCCCAGGTTACTGGGTGGGGGCTTGCGCCAGTTTTGTGTTATATTGTTGAAAAGGAACCCCTAGATATTGAACCTGACCCTGGTTGCTGCCAGCTCCACTTGGCAGAAGGGTTACATATAAATAAACCTTTAGATATTAGGTACTAAAGGATTGGCAACAGTGTTATTATTAGGTAAGATCTGAGTTATATATTGGCTTGCCTGATCTCTTGGGATTATAATAACCTTTGCTTGATTAAATTGGTATTAAATAACCACTCATCAAGTCTAATGTCTGGGTGGTAAAACGAGGGCTGGGATGCCAAAGGAGACTACAGTTTGGACTTCTTGTTAACCAGTGTGGTGAGACAGAAGTTTACTTCTGTTACTGGCTTGGTATATCTTATGAAAGAATAAACACCTGTTTTGGGGTGGATCTGCCTCATTTATTAGCAGTTTGTCCTAAATCTGGTATTCTCAGCTGTGACCCACAGACAGAGGCAGTGAGTGACTGGCTGTAAAATTGCTGCGTGGATGTTTGGGCCCAGGCTGGAGCCCAAAATCTGGGACCTTGCGAGGGGAGAAGTTCCCAGAACCTGGGCTCCAGCCTTAGCCCGAACATCTACACCGCAATTAAACTGCCCCATAGCCCAAGCCCCATCATCCTGAGTGAGTGGACATGGGACAGTGAGGGATTTTTCATTGCAGTGTAGACAACCTGTGAGGCCTGAAACAGCTCCCAATGAAAAGTGGTAACAAGCTCCCATTTATTTAAATGGGAGAGTTTGTTCTATGTGTACCTATTTGGACATATGCAAACTGTAAAAAACTTTTTAGTCTGCAAGTGACAGATTTAATTGCTAAGCACTAGAGGACAAGAGCTTTTATATTTGCAGTTGATTTTAGAATGTTTACAGTCACTTTCATGGAAAAGTAGATTTAGTTTAGCCAGGATATTTTGTTGTTTGTAATTTTTTTAAATGAAATTTAATTCCTTTCAATAAATGTTTAAAGCTGTCCAGGCATATTCATATTCTCTTACACATCCTCTCCTAAACATAGCTAGAATAAAATCAGTATTTTAAGAGAATACTTTAGGTTTAGTATTCACAAAACAAACTAGCAAAATATTAGTGGCATGCATAACTTAACATTCTTTCAACATTATACTCAATATAATATGTGCAGTAGGACTTGTGGATGACAAACTTATGCTTATAATTTAGTTTAAAGAACAAAAATAAGTTCTTAACTCCACCATATTATAGGGATTAAATAGTATCTAGTAAATTAAAAGTTTAGGATAGACATGTTTTCTTGATGATATTTGAATATTAATGTTTTGAATTACTGTGAAAAAACTCAAACTACTGAGCTGTCATTCCATCAAAATCAGAAGGATAAAATATAATAAAAAAACCTAATTTTAACCATGTGGGTGTTCATAATACAATCAGAGCTATCACTGAACAAAGCTGATATTACCAAATTTGTGCCACTTAAGTTGTAAAATTATTGTTAAATTCTTTTGGAAGAAAAAAAATCAGTAGTATTGCATCAATTATCCATTTTCTTTTCTTTTTTAAACTGCACATATAGAATATTGCAAAATTAAAGAAGAAGAAACTTGTGAGCATGCACTTGTTTTTCAACAAAAGAATTTTCATGCATAATATCTACAACACTTTAAATTTTATGGTTTTTAAGATGAATAATTATTAAACACATAAGGCCCATTCCTGCTCTCACTTAAACAAGAGCAACTCCTTTTTCTTTCAGTGGGAATTGTATCTGTATAAGTGAGGGCAAAAATCTAGCCTTTAGTATTAAGACTACTCATAAAAATAAATAATGTTAGACAGAAAAAGGCTCTAACCACTTTGTCCTCCTGGAGTTCATATCCACGAAAGCAAGAAAGAAAGGACAGAAAAAGACAAAGGAAAGACAGTTATTTCCATACTGAAACCAAGCACTAGTATGTGTTAGTAAAAATAAACAAATTTCAAGGAAATTGATTCACATACAGCTTTTTGTTTCTCCTAATTATGAAAAGTATATGGTGAAAGGGATGTTATTTTATTGGTTTTCTTCTAGTTGTTTATGGATTAAATTTTCAAAGGAAGTCAAAGTACAAATACATGCACAAGGAAAATTATTTTAATAAAAACAATTTAATAGTCAAATCCCACCTACCTTATTAAAACAAATAGTGGAGCTCACGTGAATAAAGAATGCAGGATTTGGCCCAAGTGTGATAGGTCCTAATCCTGCAAATGATCAGCATGGATGGAACCCTTGCACACTTGCATAGAAGCCCACTGGCTTGATGTCAATGGGATTCTGGGTGGGCAAATGTCTTTGAAGGATTATAGACTAATGCAGTTGGAAATAAGAGACTGATAGTGACATAACTGCATACCAATTACTCAATAGCTCATACAAAATATCAGAGTTTGAATCATAGATGTAAATTAAGACAAATTTGCCCCAACTGTTTATTATATGTTATGTAGTATATATGTTATTCTGTATTTGTCTTGTGCTTTTTTCCTTTGCATATTTATGAAAATATATGGTTGTATTAATATTGCCATATTATTTTTCTTGGTGAGAAGGTTGTCTTTTTAGCTGCCTAAAAAGTAACAGGAAGCACATTTTAGCAAACAAAAAATATTCAAAATTATTTCAATCAAAACTATCCCTCAGTCAATCAATTTGATATCAATGGAGAACAAAGCTTTACAAATGAAAAGATTTTTGATAACTCAGTTACTTACACTTGCCAATACACTGACTAAACTTAGGTATGCTATTAAGCACTTAATTGCACACTTAAGTAGGTGAGCACTTTCCATTTGTTTTACTGCTCTCATTCAGGTATCTGTATACAAACAGTTTTGTGCTCTTACACACTAGCTAGTGAAAATATCAATGTACAGTGGGTTAAGTTTTAAGCATTTTGAAAGATGTTACCATTTCTAGTGGTATTCCCCCATTATATAGATAGGGAGTATTGCTGAAAATCATAAAGTCTTTTAAATCACAGAATTTTTGAAGTTTGACCACTGTACATGCAAGTATCATTTTTAACCGTACTATACCAGGCCATCTTTGCCCCTTGACCTATACTCATAGCAAGGCTCCCTGGCCCACAGGAGCAAGAGTGGAGAGATTTAGATTGGGAATGGAGGAGCCATGTGGATGTCCTATGACCCTGAATCCCCACCTTATAGTAGCATGAGCAATGCCAAGAGCTTCTAGCAAAGAGATTCAGAGTGGGTAGGAGCGACCATGCATACCTTCGGAAACATTGAACCTTGAAGTGCCTACCTGTTTGGCTGCTTTCTCTGTGACTGCCTCTCAGCCACAAGTGATATGTTCTGGGTAGACAAGTGACAGTGAAGGATAATAATAGGGTGGGAATAGATCAAATCCCCCAAATGGTTGCAAATAGACAGGAGTGAGGGAGGTGGGTTTAATTTTAAAATAGAAACCTGACAAGACTAAATAATTACCTAAAAGGTTAATTTTAAAAATACAGAACATAAGGAAGGGTTAAAGATAAATTATGTACAAAAACAGAAAAAAGGAAAGACAAAAGATAATATACAAAAATGTAAAATAGATATTAGTAATGTTTAAAAAAAAGACAGACAATGGTTTTAAAACTTAACATAAAATAAAGACGGGCTAGGCAATAAAAAAAATAAATAGACGAGATTTAAAATTAAGTAAAATTAATAAAGAGGCTTAAGGTCATGTTTACTCACATATACCTGCTTGTTTTCCATCTACTACTGTCTGTTCTGACGGTTAACACTGAGGTAGAACTGTTTATTCCTAGTAAATTATTATTGCTACTTAAAAATAAATCATTTTTAATATCTGGTTTTGTACATTTATCTTTCCATATTCGCTACTACAAAGAACTCTTCTCTCCTCCAGTATATGAACTCTATTCCTGAGATTCAGGAGAATGTGCTGCTATAAATAATAATAATATTTCCAGAAACTGACTGGAAATTATGCTGTTTAATAGTTTTGCATAGGGTGACCAGATAGCAAGTGTGAAAAATCAGGACAGGGGGTGGAGGGGTAATAGGAGCCCATATAAAAAAAAAGCCCCAAATATTGGACTGTCCCTATAAAATCGGGACATCTGGTCACCCTAGTTTTGCAAGTATTTTCTCTTTAAGAGAATGAAGGGCCCACACTGCCTATGATTCGTGCACACAATTCATTGATCTAACCTGGTATCATGCCCTTAGTTTTTAAGAAAATATGCCCTTTAGATTATCAGGTATTTTTAAATCATTCTGAGTCTGGTCACCTACATCCATTTATGAATTCTGCTTTTATGACCAATCTGGATTATTTTCCCACTCTTACCTGAGTTTATTTCAGAAGTTACAGCCAACATAAATTATATCCAGTGGCCTAAATAAGTTTATACCAATCTCGGATACTCATTTTAAAAAATGTGGTTATTAATGTAGTTTTAGTTTATTTTCTAGTATTTAACTGTGAAATATTTTAATAGTCTTCTATATATACACACCAACATAACTATACAAATAGAAGACTATTGCTTTTCACAGATTTAACTGTTTGGTTGATCTGTTTTTCACGCTTAACAGTTTTTACCTTTAGATAAAAATATTTTTAAAAAAATTTCACCTTCAAGAATGAATCAAAATACATAATGAGGAGGAGAAAAGTCACTCTAATTCAGCAAACATAGCATTACTGTATATAGACCAAACCACAGACAGAAAAGATTCAGAACAGGCATGACACAGACTCATAGACTTTAAGGTCAGAAGGGACCATTATGATCTTCTAGTCTGACGTCCTGCACAACGCAGGCCACAGAATCTCACCCACTCACTCCTGTAACAAACCCCTGACCTATGTCTGAGCTATTGAAGTCCTCAACTTGTGGTTTAAAGACTTCAAGGTGCAGAGAATCCTCCAGCAAGTGACCCATGCCCCACGCTGCAGAGGAAGGCGAAAAACCCCAGAGCCTCTGCCAATCTGCCCTGAAGGAAAATTCCTTCCCGACCTCAAATATGGCGATCAGCTAAACCCTGAGCATGTGGGCAAGACTCACCAGCCTGACACCCAGGAAAGAGTTCTCTGTAGTAACTCAGATCCCACCCCATCTAACATCCCATTATAATGTAATTACAGGTCATTGGGCATCTTTACCGCTAATAATCAAAGATCAATTAATTGCCAAAATTAGGCTCTCTCATCATACCATCCCCTCCATAAACTTATCAAGCTCAGTCTTGAAGCCAGATATGTCTTTTGCCCCTACTGCTCCCCTTCGAAGGCTATTCCAGAACTTCACACCTCTGATGGTTAGAAACCTTCGTCTAATTTCAAGTCTAAACTTCCTGATGGCCAGTTTATATCCATTTGTTCTTGTGTTCACATTGGTACTGAGCTTAAATAATTCCTCTCCCTCCCTGGTATTTATCCCTCTGATATATTTATAGAAAGCAATCATATCTCCCCTAAGCCTTCTTTTGGTTAGGCTAAACAAGCCAAGCTTTTTGAGTCTTTCATAAGACGGGTTTTCCATTCCTCCGATCATCCTACTAGCCCTTCTCTGTACCTGTTCCAGTTTGAATTCGTCCTTCTTAAACATGGGAGACCAGAACTGCACACAGTATTCCAGATGAGGTCTCACTAGTGCCTTGTATAACGATACTAACACCTCCTTATCTCTACTGGAAATACCTCGCCTGATGCATCCCAAGACTGCATTAGCTTTTTTCACGGCCATATCACATTGGCGGCTCATAGTCATCCTGTGATCAACCAATACTCCGAGGTCCTTCTCCTCCTCTGTTACTTCCAACTGAGGAGTCCCCAGTTTATAACAAAAATTCTTGTTATTAATCCCTAAATGCATGACCTTGCACTTTTCACTATTAAATTTCATCCTATTAGTATTACTCCAGTTTACAAGGTCATCCACATCTCCCTGTATGATCTCCCTGTATGATATCCCGGTCCTTCTCTGTATTGGCAATACCTCCGAGCTTTGTGTCATCTGCAAACTTTATTAGCACATTCCCACTTTTTGTGCCAAGGTCAGTAATAAAAAGATTAAATAAGATTGGTCCCAAAACTGATCCCTGAGGAACTCCACTAGTAACCTCATTCCAGCCTGACAGTTCACCTTTCAATATGACCCATTGTAGTCTCCCCTTTAACCAATTCCTTATCCACCTTTCAATTTTCATATTGATCCCCATCTTTTCCAATTTAGCTAATAATTCCCTATGTGGAACCGTATCAAATGCCTTACTGAAATTGAGGTAAATTAGATCCACTGCATTTCATTTGTCTAAAAAAATCTGTTACCTTCTCGAAGAAGGAGATCAGGTTGGTTTGGCATGATCTACCTTTTGTAAAACCATATTGTATTTTGTCCCAATTACCATTGACCTCAATGTCCTTAACTACTTTCTCCTTCAAACATTTTTCCAAGACCTTGCATACTACAGATGTCAAACTAACAGGCCTGTAGTTACCCAGATCACTTTTCCCCCCCCCCTTTCTTCTTTCTTTGTTTTCTTCTTATTTATAAGGCTATAGAACCTTTTACTATTGGTTTTAATTCCCTTTGCAAGGTCCAACTCTACATGGCTTTTGGCCTCTCTCACTTTATCCCTACATGTTTTGAGCTCAATAAGGTAGCTTTCCTTGCTGATCCCTCCCATCTTCCACTCCTTGTAGGCTTTCTGCTTTTTCTTAATCACCTCTCTGAGATGCTTGCTCATCCAGCTTGGTATACAACTCCTGCCTATGAGTTTTTTCCCCTTTCTTGGGATGCAGGCTTCTGATAGTTTCTGCAACCTTGACTTGAAAAAAAAA